AAGATGGCGGCGACGTTGACGTGCGGTCGAGCGGCCAATGAGGCGTCTAGGTATTTATTATGTCTATGGTCTTCAGGGCTTCGGGTGCCAGTGACGCACACGGTCACATGACCCTGCTGCTGGTGACGTGCGGCGTGAGTTTCTTTCCCCGTCTGTGTTTAACACACACTCACACACTCTCGACTAGGCATAAACACGAGTGAAGAGCCTTTGTGCTGCTCTCATCCCTGTCCTCCAGCGCAGGCGGAGCCGAGCTGTGTTTACTGTGTGTGGCGGGTGAGTTTGTGTTTGACTTTTATTGTTACACATCGACGTCACAGTCTATCATTTCAGCCGCGAGACTGCACTGTTGCTGCTCTGAGAGAGAGAGAGAGAGAGAGTGATCATATTTCATAACATTAGTATTGACAGGAACTAAAGTTGATCAGGATAATGGCACACGTGTGTGATCAGGCATGTATAACACATTAATGAATTACTAGTGCTGAGATCACTGACATGCTCAGAAGTTCATTCATATTGTAGATCAGTTGGTGGATTATTTATTTATGCATATTTCCAGACTGTCCATCTAGTCAGTGATCACTGTTTATTTTTTTTAGAATCACAACTCTGAATGTATTGTTGACAGTGGACATATTTTTGTCCTTTTTTTTAGTGATAGACCCTTATATCAGCAATGGCGAGACTTTTAACTTTTTAATTTCCCCATGTGGCATATTGATAGTTTGGTTAATGGATAGTGCAGAATGTGCAGTTTGAAGAAAATGTAAGATTAATGTTTATTTAAAGTTTTACCAGTGTTTATTTAAATCTGCCATTTTTAATGGATCTTATTTGCTATTATTGAATTGTATTATATATATTTTCAGTAGCAGCCCTGCACTATAGCATCATCTATCAGTATCTGTCAGTATCAATCATTAAAAATAGGGTCAACTTCTAATGTAAGTTTTATGAATGATCATCCACACTTAGAGGTGGTAGATTGTCTTCAATCATTAAAGTTTAGTGGTAAAGTGTGAAAGGGATAGACATCAAAAACTCTTGTTACATCAGCCATGAAGCCAGTTTCTGTCCCGAAGCTCAAGGCTGTCTGAGGTGAACATGCAGGCCCTGGAGTTTGATTAATGGATTTGCCAGCTTTATGGGCCTCTCCTCCTCAGCAAAAGGTCATGGTTGATGTAACAATGCTCTTATACATCTCAAAATGACTGCGATTTCAGAGCTATTACCTTGAAAACAGGTCTGTATGTTAGGAATGACAGTCAGCTGAAAATATTTGATTTCGTTGGACCTTTCGTGGTGATATGTTTTGTTTTAATGCTATATCATATATGTGACCCTGGACCGCAAAACCAGTCATAAGGGTCTACTTTTTGAAATGAGAGATACATCAATGCTCTCCATTGATGTATGGTTTGTTAGGATAGGACAGTATTTGGCCGAGACACAACTATTTGAAAATCTGGAATCTGAGGGTGCAAAAAAATCTAAATATTGAGAAAATCTCCTTTAAAGTTGTCCAAATTAAGTTCTTAGCAATGCATATTGCTAATCAAAAATTAAGTTTTGATATATTTACGGTAGGAAATTTACAAAATATCTTCATGGAACATGATCTTTACTTAATATCCTAATGATTTTTTGGCATAAAAGAAAAATCAATAATTTTGACCTATACAATGTATTGTTGGCTATTGCTACAAATATACCCCAGCGACTTAAGACTGCTTTTGTGCTCCAGGGTCACATATCATAAAACCCTATATCATCAGTAAAAGTAACAAACCAATGCAGTGGCTCTGTAAAAGGGATTTTACACTCCGTTAAAGGTTCTGTAAGTATGTCTTCCTGGTTTTGCTTTCCTTTCCTTCTTCCCAGCTTCCAGGTGGGATTATTGCAAATCTATCCCCTCACAAAACCTGGAACCATTCCCTTGGCTTGGTCACAAGCATGAAGGCGTCTGAAATCAGGACAAGGGTTGCGGGTCCCTGCGCTGTGTGTTCTAGCGGCTCTGGTCAGCACGAGCTGGCATTGCACTGCCTCGCTGGTTAGGAGACTGTGGTGTCAGCCATTTTAGGTCGGACAGCAGAGCGTGTGGCGTGCCGCCATTTTTTTCCCCTCACTCTTCCATTTTTAACTGAGCCTTAACACCTTAGGTGCTGGTGACATAGAATCTGTGCCACTCTGCATTGAAAAAGCCAAATGCTCTTTGGTATCTTTAAACTTACTGGCGTATTTTATACAGTTTAGGTTGCATTTTCAATTATAACCGAACTGACCAATGCATACAAAAAAGCCATACATAAAATAGCCTATGGCATTGGCCTATTTGATGAAGAGGTCTTATTTTCAAAGCATATTGTCAGTGTAATAAAAAAAAAAAAACTTTTGACTTTTCTTACCAATTTAAAATAATGCATGCAAAGTTGATCACATTTTTGTCTGAGAGAGTCAACATGCATTAGTGTGTCACTGAGACCGAGGGGCTTTGGCGAGGGAATGAGTGGACGGCATGCTATTGACAATGAGTGAGAACAACCACACCTATCAAACTCAGTCTGAAATAGGATCAGGGACTGCTCTCGACACTCGCAGCGTCCGGAAAAAACAAGCCAGGGAGAGCCAGGAACCGAACGCTGTCTGTGGGTTGACCACTGTGTGTATGAGTGCGTTAGTGCGTTAACTCGGTGTGTACGTGAAACAGAGTTGTGTGTGTGTGTGTGTGTGGGGGTGGGGTTGCCATGGGGACAGTAACACACCAGTGGTGCTGACGACCCGTCTCCTTGCAGACTGGGCTGAACTTATGAGGGAGAGAGAGGGATTGGGGGAGGGGAGGTTAAGGCGGGCAGGGAAACCGACGGTGGGGTACATGTGTTTTTGCCAAAGCAAACGTAATGGAGAGAGAACAGATTTTAACCCCAACTACACAAAGCCATGTTTACCGCTGCCGGCCGCGTTCTCATGAAACATCCACATGGTTCAGGATTGGTCAGTTTAGGCACTATTGTACCATTGTTTATTTACATGTTCTCCAGAGAGACAAAGATATTCTGTTTATCCGTAGTGAGTCCACAGGACGATGGCTGTCTGACTGTATAGGCCTCAAACTTTTGATAATGGTGTGCACTCATTTAGTGTAAACTTTGCATTTAAGAATCCATGACCTTTTTGTCTCAGTCAGACCCTAGTAGACTAATCCTGCAGCATTTTTTAGCTTGTCAGAGTAGTGGTTGATCAATGCATGTTTTTGTATTCATGTTTTGCAAATTCGTAAACTTTTACACATGGCTCCCTATTTTCTAACATTGTAGGGTAGAAGCGTTAGCTAATTTTTGAGCAAACAAATAGGCAGACAATCCATAGGCTCGGTCATGTATTCGCAGCTAATTCAAGAGCCGCTCAACGCAAGCGGCAGCTTGGCTCCCAGGTTGACCACTCGCTAAATAGCTCATGGTGGAACATTCCAGAGCCTTTGGAGTGAGCCAGAGAGGAGGAGGAGATGTGGGGGGTAACGGCTCTGTGATTGTTGGATGAGGGTGAAAAAGGGTGTGTGAGGGGGGTAGGGATGGGGAATTGGTATCACGGCAAAAAAGTCGTTGCTGAAACACCTCACTGGTTCCTGCGACAGTTAATGGCCCCTCCCCAGCTACCTACATATGTGTACACACACGCTCGCACCTCAGCCCAGACTTACTGGCCTAGCCCCCACTCGTCTTCTCGTCCTCAGGGTCTGACCAGCGTGATGGATGTCAAACCCGCCTACCACGCAACCCCTTTGTGTTGGTTATGTGACCCAGCAGCGTTGGCAGGGCCATGCCCCCTTTTGCTGAACTGAATGGCAACGCCGCAGCAAGCTGCAATGAAGGGCATTTCCATTTTCTGGGAAAAGAGCATATTGTGGCTGTGTGTTATATTTGCAAGGGTGAAGCCCCACTTACCCCTGACAAGCACATGATTTAGAATCTGCCGTCTTTGCTTCTGGGCTCACCGAACATTTTGTGCCAATCACTTGAGCCATAAATGCAATGTGACTAATCACTCTGAAGCTGCAGGAAAATGATATCATGACGATACTAATTGGCTGATGCCACCACGAGAATATGCACAGCTCATGATAGCTGCTAGTTTTAAAGTTTTGGTACTATAACATTAACAGCAGCAGAATGTGAAAAATAAACATCCAAAAGTTGGGCACTGGAGATGTTATAAACTATAACAATACAATACAAAACAATAGTGATTTATATGCGGCTTACAAAAAGTTTTATGCAGTCAGAATATACAATTTTTTTTAATGGCCACCAATGGAGAATAATACTTTAGGATTCAGATGGTGTAATTACAGCATCTACCATCAGGGGCTAACTAGACCATGTTAACAGACCAAAGCTTTCCTTTGTCCCTATGTGACATGGTAGACTTGGAGAAAGCTGTACTGCTCCCATAAGACTCTTCAGCTTGGTTAATGGTCATATAGCCTATATATAAAAAATCCCCCAAATCCCGCTAAGAAATTGTGCTGCCTTGTTCCTGGGTATGTTTGCAGTCTAAGATTAGTGAATTGAAAGTGACCTATATTTCTAGTAGGCCTTGGCAGTTGTAGCCATTTGAATCAGAAATTAACTGCAGTGCTTTTTTTCTTGTGTGTTGTTGTTTACTGAATACACTGTTGAACATAAGGATGGATGTATGTATATTGAAATTGATGTTTTTTTCACATTTTTGGTATGATAAAATCAATCGTGTTTGATGGATAGCATGTTATTGATCTAAACTGCAAAAGTTAAACTTTTTCAGAGAGGGGATGGGGTGTGATGGGTTGTGAGAACGCTCCTTAAACAGAATGAGAGGCTATAAAAGGTTCTTTGAAAGTAGCTCAGTCATCAGAGACAGCCATAAAAGCAGCTCTTCTCTTTTATACTGTAAGTGAAAAGACGTTTAAAGATAGAAGGTCAATAGGCAGCTTTTTGTTATTTTAGTATAATAACTAAATTAAGCTTGATTTCTGTGGTTCTTAAAAGCGGTTGTGTTTTGTCTTTACAGATGCTCTGATGCCTGAAACCATTAAGGACATGTAATACTTATGATGACCTGATGATAATGTCCATCAACAAGTTCTATAAGAGTGGATAACCATAATAATCAGGACTCTCACTGGAGACGAAGTAGACAGCACCATGGCTAGCAAGAGGAAGTCCACCATTCCGTGCATGATTCCTGTAAAAGCCATGCATCTGCAGGATGACTTTGAACGGGGCAGACTTTCCCCTCCAATCAAGGACATTAGCTTTTCCCTTACAGAGGAAGCAAGTGGAAAAAGCAGTCAAAGTTTGGATGAGTCCTCTGGGCAAGAAGCAGGTGATACCCATAAATATGCAGACATTTACACTTGTAGGCTATGTAACTTTGAGACCAAGGACCTAAATCTTTTCCTCGATCATGTCTACAGTGGGCACCCAGATTTCCGCATTGACCCCTGTTTTCGTTGTGTGGATTGCGGGACAAGTGCTGCAAAATTTGAGGGCTTAGCACTGCACAATGCCCGTGTCCATCCCAGTACAATAACCACCACACTTCAGCTCAAAAAGAAGGACAATAGAATCATAGTAGAGCAAAATCTTTGCGTGGAACCTTGTGAAAGCACTAGCTCGAAAGAAACTGAGATATCCATAACCAAGACACCAATCATGAAAATGTTGAAGGGTAAATCAGAACCCAAAAGGATTGTAGTTTCCCACACTGCAACTGATGACCCTCCCCCCGTTATTACCAGAGTGGTGGAGAAAAGTGACTCTCCTGCAGTTACAGTCACTCATGTGCCCACTATTGTACACAATGGAGCAGCCAGCAAAGTTGCCCTGCCGTCGGCCATACAGATTGTTAATGGCTCTGGGGCTTTGCCCATGCTGAAGACAGCTGTTACACAAGTTGTATCTGTTGTGCAGAACAGAAGTCTCAATCAACAATCTGCTCCAATCACTGTCTCCTCATCCCACTCCTCTTCGGCATCCTCCTCATCAAGTACTAAGAACCTTCCAAAAGTAATGATCCCACTCAGCAGCATTCCCACCTACAATGCATCCATGGACAATAGCAGTTTCTTAAAGACATCCTTTAGCAAGTTCCCTTATCCAACCAAGGCTGAGCGTTGCTACCTTACTGTAGTCACCAAGTACCCTGAGGAGCAGATCAAGATCTGGTTCACAGCACAGAGGCTGAAACAAGGAATCAGCTGGTCTCCAGAGGAAATAGAAGATGCCCGCAGAAAAATGTTCAATACGATCATACAGGCAGCACCCTCAAATAGCCAACAGCAACGGCACACCCACCACACCACTACTCAGCCAACTATCACAGTTCTGGGCACAACTGGCATCCCTCACATCTTACAAGGTAGCCTGGTTGGCCAAGGAGGGGTGATTGTCACGCAGCCAATGATGGCTAATGGAATTCAGGTCAGCAGTGCCCCTGTTGCATTAGCTGTAACACCTAAACCTCAGGCTGCTGCAAAGCCGATGATGCAGGCCAGACCCGCTGCAGCCCTGGTAGCCGATAAAGGAATCAGCATGGTTTTAGGCACTGTTGGTAGCAGCAGTAGTGGAAATTGCAGTAGTAGCAGCAGCAGCAGCAATGCTAGCAGCAGTTCAAGCAGTATTAGCAGTACTAGCAGCTTATGTAGCCAGGCTAGCCTGATCAGTATTGGTAGCAGCAGCACTGCTAAGTCAAATAGCAACAGCAACATTAAGGTCAATACACCGGGTACTGATGCCACTTGCATTCAAAGCAACAGTACTATTGTGAAAAGTGAGAGTAAAGGCAATTCTGAGGCTAAAAGCAACATTAACAGCAAGAACAACATTTCAGCTGCCAGTACCACTCCAACCACAACCGTGGCATCTACAACTACAACAGATAGCGCAGTACCAAGTAAATCAGACTCTCCTGTCTCTGTGAACTCGCGCATATTCTCCACCACTAACTTCCTGGACCCCAGCTTTAACAAAACCAAAAAGTCCCAGGAACAGCTGGCAGCCTTAAAGGAGAGCTTCCTTGTTAGCCAGTTTCCTAATCAAGAGGAAGTAGACCGACTTATAAGCCTAACTGGTCTGTCTGTACGTGAAGTACGGAAATGGTTCAGCGACCGCCGCTACCACTTCCGGAATCTGAAGGGTTCAAGGTCAAGTGGCGGAGGTCAGACTGTTACAGCTAGTGGTAGCATTTCCCAACTGGATACTCTTGCTGCTGTAGACTTGTCTGAAAACAGTACACCCCCAGAGAGGCCCAAAACTCCCCAGCAGTCACCTCTCAGCCCCTCACAGACATCATCCCCACCAACTCCAACACGGCGTCCTCCACGCCCCCCATCGCCAGATTTCACGGCGATACGGTACAAAGAGCGAGAGCCCCACCAGGTTCGTGCTTTGGAGGCCAGCTTTGCACAGGACCCAGATCCATCTAGTGAAGAAGTTGACCGGTTAAGAGCAGAAACAAAGATGACTCGCCGTGAGATCCACGGTTGGTTTGCTGAGCGACGGAGGAGGGTAGCAGCAGAGAAGAAGAAAGAGGAAGCTGAGAGGGCAGAAAGGGAAGATGATGATGCAGTGGGAGAGACAGAGGAGCATGGAATATACAAGGAAAAAAGCAGTAATGAGGAGGCCCATGAAGCTGAAGATTCCTCCAAGGAAACGCAACAAGACAAAGAGGACAAACAGAAGGATGAGAGCGGTACCGAGCCGAAAGTTAACCCTATCAAAATCAATCTCAAAATGCTGAAAGTTACTGAATCTAATGGAAAAGGTGAGCCAGAGGACAGTCAACTGAATGAGGCTACCAAGGTGGCACAATCTATCTCTCAGACAACTGTTCCTCAGACCTCCCCATACCGAGGAAAGAAGACACCCGAACAGCTCCACCTGCTGAAGAAAGTCTTTGCACGCACCCACTGGCCCAGTAGTCCCCAGTACAATGAGCTGATAACTAAAACGGGCCTACCGCGACCAGAGGTGGTACGTTGGTTTGGAGATTGCCGCTATGTCCTGAAGAACGGTCAGCTCAAGTGGCTTGAGAGTTACCAGACCATGGTAGATGAGGAAGACTTCCAGAAAGATAACATTAGCATCCTAAAGGAGCACCTAGACAAGCATGGTAAACTAGATGAGACTAAGTTGGAGGAGATTGTGAAATCAAGTGGGTTAGGTGAGGAATCAATCCGGCGGTGGTTTGCCAATAAGACACCACCTTTATTGGAGGAAAGGAACTCCGAGAGCACAGGAGGTGTGATGACTGAATCATCTACAACCCCAACTGAAGCCGCTCTAGCATCACAGCATCCAGACCATGAAGATGTAAAGGTGGAGCAGTCAGGAAGCAGCCTAATCTCTAAGGATCAAACCACAGTAGTTGACATATCAACAAATACTAAACAAGGTGATTCATTTTCTGCCATCTCAGCCATGAATTATATTGTATCCTATTTAAGGATAGGATTAGCCGTTAAAATTGTGTCCAGTGTGAGGTTGTTGTTGTGTTTAATACTTGTTTGTTCATTTTTGCAGAGTCTGACTGAAGAGGAAAGTGGATGCATGAATGAATGTGAAGCGATATCAGCCCATGGGATTACAGCACATGTGGCCTTTAATTGAAGGCTTTTTTTTAAACAGATTAAACTTTAACAGGAGCACTGGAAAACACCTCTGCAAAAAGAAAAAAAAGAAAAAAACTCTCCCCAAATTAATTATTTTCGTTACTAGCTGTAAGACATGGTGTGGATTATCAAAAATCAGGATGCACCCCTTCACCAGTCAGCTGCTTTTTCTATTTGGATGGGATAGAGGGGAAAACAGACCGTAGCTTCGTGAAGTGAGAGACCCAAGTTGAAGTCCACAGAGAAGTTTTTCTTGGATGTGAATTTCCTGTCTTTTTCTTCTGGGGAGGAATTACCATTTTTAGGGGACTTATGGTGGTACTAAGCGCAAACTGCACAGCTCTCATTGAGCCCTTTTGTAATTCTTAAAATATGACGGACTTAATTTGTTGTATGCTGTAGGTGAGCATCAATACCAATAGCACATGTCAATGAAATGTCATTCAAAGTAAAAGAACCCCTAAAGTCATGACTATTTGTGACAAAACGGATTCACCAGTGTGAACGCTTAGGCTTGTATGATTTTTACAAAATACTATTTGCAGAATAAATTTAATATTACAAAAAAATGGTCATGGATTTTCAGGCTTGGGGAAAAAAAAACTTCACCGCTCATTGTTGAATAAGTAGTTTATTCTCAGGCTTGATTATGTTTCATATGAAAAGCAAAATTAAAACATATACTTCCTCCAATATAACATAGGCACATTACAGAAAAGGCTTGGTTGTAAATAAGAACATTGGTAACAAAACGCTGATGCAAGAAAACAGAAAAAGGCATACATGTCCAACAGGGAAATCTTTCGTTGATGTATATATGTATACATACACCAAGGCACATGAACGATGAGGCAAGAAAATAGCAGAAACTAATTTACAGACTGGAGAAGGGCTACAGCAGTACAAGTAGAGGGATTAACGCTTAAAACTAAATGAGGGAATGTTGGCTAATTAGGAATAAATGTAAGGGAACTTGAACAAATTCCCTCTGAAGGCGTCTGGCCTCGTCTTTTCCTCTCAAAGCTCAGGAAGTGATAATGGTCCATGTGTCTTTCTGTAATATTTCTAGATTGCGTAATGCAAATTGCTATATACACTGATCATTGCAGAAGACTAGAAAAAAAAGTGTTATGACAGAATTTATGCGTGCATCCAAAGGCGCAAGCCAGCTGTTTGAATCGCACATCCCTCCGTGTTAAAATGCCCCTCGTTTACAATTTTCAAATTAATTAGCATTTCTGTACACACCCAATCAGTGGAACATATAACAACGTAACACTATAATTTGAGGAGTACATTCTGGAGCATCTTTCAGACTCTGAGCTGTCATGCACAGAACCAAATAAATACTGTGACAATAGTGGCATAACGTAGCAGCCACAAGGCAAAAAAGAGGGGGAAAAGGCAAACAAGCTCTCCATAATCATCTTGCTCCATAAAAATGCACCTGGACCCCATGATCAAACAGAGAGGCAGGTAAAGCATCAGTGATGGAAAAGCAATGCGACAGCATCACAATGGCTTCTGTATACGGCTGTTAGACACGAAACGATTGGCAGAACTACATGGCATGTGTATGTGTATGTGTGTAGTTCAGTAACATCTCAACCTCTACTGGCTAAACGAGAACTGCGTGAAACTTATCAGAGCTACAATAAATATGGCCTTGTTTTTGCTGTACATCAACTGTGAATACTGAGGTTTAGCAGTCTTAGCCTGTTCATCAATCGGTGACAATCCGTATTAGGGCAATACTTTGACAACACAAAACTAGATGACTGCTTGGCACAAGGTATACATCTATAGAAAGACTGACCAAAATGCCCTTACTCCTGTCCACAGAAGAAGAAAAAAAATGTATCATGAGAATTATTCAATGCTCAGGGTGTTCTACTAACCCAATGAACGGAGACAGACTTATTTGGTCCCGATTTCTTGTATAAACCTCCTGCACAGTCTACCTTTGGCTTTCTTAAAGGGATAGTTCACCCAAAAATGAAAATGTGATGTTTATCTGCTTACCCCCAGGGCATCCAAGATGTAGGTGACTTTGTTTCTTCAGCAGAACACAAACGAAGATTTTTAACTCAAACTGTTGCAGTCTGTCAGTCTTATAATGGAAGTGAATGGAATCACGGCTTTGAGAGTCAAAAAAAACATACACAAACAAAACCAAATTAAACCCTGCGGCTCGTGACGATACATTGATGTGTAAAGACACGAAACGATCGGTCTGTGCAAGAAACTGAACAGTATTTATATTATTTTTTACCTCTGATGCACTGCAGTGTCTGAACTGTCCTGAGCACGTCCTCGACAGCCGGCGCGTGACGCGTCTTCTTCTTCTTGCTTTACGGTGGATCGCAGACTTACAAGTGCATTACCGCCACCTATCTCTCAAATGGACCATTGACACGCCTAATTGAGATTGTAGATAGTGTCAATGGTCCATTTGAGAGATAGGTGGCGGTAATGCACTTATAAGTCTGCGATCCGCCGTAAAGCAAATTAGACGCGTCACGCGCTGGCTGTCGAGAACGCGCTCAGGACAGTTCAGACATTGCAGTGCATCAGAGGTAAAAAATGATATAAATACTGTTCAGTTTCTTGCACAGACCGATCGTTTCGTGTCTTTACACATCAATGTATCGTCACGAGCCGCAGGGTTTAATTTGGTTTTGTTTGTGTATGTTTTTTTTTACTCTCAAAGCCGTGATTCCCATTCACTTCCATTATATGACTGACAGACTGCAACGGTTTGAGTTAAAAATCTTGCGTTTGTGTTCTGCTGAAGAAACAGTCACCTACATCTTGGATGCCCTGGGGGTAAGCAGATAAACATCACATTTTCATTTTTGGGTGAACTATCCCTTTAAAACAGACATCATGGTTAACACGCTACTAAAGGTACTAAATCATACATAAAATGTCCTCCCTATTTGACCTGATAAGACTACACCATAAAAAGCCTTCAGGAACAAGACTTTTCAATTGCTAAAGTGTGGAGGAACAGTAAACGATAAATCACAGAAATGGTTTTAGAGGGATAAAACGGTCTGAAATGAGATGGTCCAAGTTCTGTTCTGTAAACTAAATACACGACGTTTCCACAAAGCTCTCGTAGCCCAAAAACCCCACCTGAGCTGTTTGTGAATTCAAGTCCACCCGTGCAGACTGGCAAAACATAAAACAAGGAGAGTGATATTGCTCTCTGGTCACTTGATAACTTCATAATTTCATTTTAAAGCTAAATAAAGGTTGTTAAATGTCGAAGAATGTCTTCCTGAAGCTCAGACAAGAGACTACTTCAATGGGATCTCCCATACTGCCACCTGCCTGTCACAAAAAACCACAAGCACATCCTGGGACGCGTCAAACACTTTAGTCCATCAACTCGGAAGATAAAGAGCAAGAATGCAAGACGCAATTAAAAAGGCCAAGCCCTCATGTTAAAAACATACTCGTATATAAAAAAAATGACATGAAAGTTTAAAACATGTTTAAATAATAAAAATAATCTGAAATGAAATAAAGATCTGGAGTGAGAGGCTCTTTGAGAGCAGATCAGCTGCAACGTTTTTCTAACCACACACACACACACATTTATATATAAGCCAGAGAGATACAGTAAAGAAAAAGTATTATTACTCCATAAATGTTAACCTGGAATCGGTTTCAAAGTGATGAATGATACAACCCCACTCAATTTTGAAACACTGGCCTTTGTCGTCCACCCAAACGCTGTCCCCGAGTCTCGCGCAGCATCAGAACACCCCCGTCCCGTCCGCAGGTTCAGATTGTAGCTAAGCAGATAATTGTTCGTTTCTGTCCGTGAGCCAAAGCTCCATCATGCTCCGCAAGCCCCTCTGCCACTCGCGTGGCCCTGAGCGGGAGAGAGTCGCAGAGAGAGGGAGATCTGTCCGAAAACACTGGCGATGACGACTTCCATAGAAACAGGTTTCACGGCAGTCCTTGACATCATCAGCTGTGGGACCCTTGTCGCTGGCCTTGCGTCCGCTCCGTCCATCTGTCGCACGCTCAGCCGCTCGGGTTACGCACGGTTGTCGGCGCTGACGCGAGCCCTGCGAAGCCTGCCAGAGAAGAGAAACACCACACACGTCAGAACTCAACCATTAAGCCTGACTTCTGATCATCAACATCTGGTCCACATTGTCCAGCCACTCAAACAGGAAGTGACCGTCTGAACCTCACCATCAAACCAGCCACAGTTACAGCTATTGTAGTAACACTGATTTCTAATGATCTCAAACTAACAAGTACGAGGGAGTAACATTACCTTTTAATTTAAAATATGAGTTACTTTTTCAAATAAGTAAAACTTTCTTTTCCCATGTATTGACCTGCAGCTCTCCTGTCCTCATGATGAGAGAAATCGCGAGGCGTTGTGTTTGTTGTGTGAACATGATGTTACTGTAGATCTAGACTAAATGTGAACATGCATTTACTCGTCTCACTCGCATAGAAACAGATTCAGTATTCCTCAAAATGAATAAAAACAGTCAAATGCAAACTCAGCATATGACGCAAATCTGCAATAAATAAATGTTAAATAACACACATATCCTTTTTGTATTTAATCCCATTTTACTAACTAATGTCTTTGCTGCTGACCTTCAATAATCCAATTCAACCGCACTAATAACAAAAATGTCTTTTTTTAATTGCTGAAGAGAGTTGAACTTTCTTCTCCTGCGTCTTATTCTTCATGCAATCCAGAACAACAGCAGAGCAGAAAGGTTTGTTTGAGCCAACCAAAAATAGATTTTTTTTATATTAAAAACAAGCAAGCCCAGCCCAGATAAGAAAAAGTAATGCAAAAGTAATAATGCATTACTTTCCATAAAAAGTAACTAAGTAATGCTATTAGTTACTTTTCTTTAGGGAGTAACGCAATATTGTAATGCAATACTTTTAAAAGTAACTTTCCCCAACACTGTCAACCAGCAATTTTACTTCTGGTAAAAGATGGCAGAAAGTAGAGGAAAGAATGTGATTTATGAATATATTCCCATCATTGTTCTGGATTTTTGTTTCTCGTGCAGTATATTTGGTGGCAAAGTGACTGGATTTGGCAACTGGAAAAAAAAAAGCCACTGAAAAGTTCAATATACATCTGAAAAGCAGCGTGCACATATCTGGTTAAAAATGAACAGACACTTAAAACAGGAAGCATCGCCACTCAAATCGGCAGTGAACAAAACTAGTCAAAGCTAGTCGACAGTCGAGTAAATGCTGGCAACCTCTTGAAGTTATTCACAAGTGACCGATGAACAGCACATTGTGTGAAAGAAAGTTTTCTTGCTTGTGCCAACTGAAAACCTACACGAGAAACACCATGAGCCAGGAGAGACTCAGTACTGAACATTAAACGGGACATTCATGTAGATTTGGATAAGTTAAAGTGATAGTTCACCCAAAAATGGAAATTCGGTCATTGATTACTCACCCTCATGTCGTTCTAAACCCGTAAGACCTTCGTTCATCTTCGGAACACAAATTAAGATATTTTTGATTGAATGTGAGAGCTGTCAGACCCTCCCATAGACAGCAAGGTAAACTACCACCGTCAAAGTCCAGAAACGTAGCAAGGAGATCTGTAAGATAACCCATGTGACATCAGGGGTTCAACCGTAATTTTACAAAGCTATGAGAATACTTTTTTGTGCACAAAAGAAAAAAAAAAAAAAAAAAACTTTATGTATGTATGTATATGGGTCAAAGACGAAAAAGAGTTTAAGCATAAAAACAATATGTGTAATACTGCTTTAAATTATTGTCTTAATTTGTGTTCCGAAGATGAACGAAGGTCTTACGAGTTTAGAATGACATGAGGGTGAGTAATCAATGACCGAATTTCCATTTTTGGGTGAACTATCCCTTTAATTTCAGTTAATCGCTCTGATGCCGTGTCTGGTGGAAGCCGTTTAGCCCTTAACTAAGTTAGGACATTTTGATACTTACAGCAGTTCTTGTTAAAACTTCTGAGAATAATTTGCTGACGCAGGTACAAAAATACTTTTTTTGTGCAGACTCAAAAGTTAAATGTCGTAAAAATGTAAATTGAACATCCTTAAACCAAGCGTACCTCCTGCTCTCGTGGTCCAGCAGCGTCTCCTGGGACACTCTGAAGTCCTCCAGCGGGGACTGGTAGCGGGCCTCGAACGAGCCCTCCCGCCCGTGGTATCCCAGCGCCTGGCCCGGAGACGAGGGCATGGGGGACGTGGAGGAGACGGAGCTGGTGTCCCCCGTACGCTCCCGGCCCACCTGCATGGCTATGGCCCCCACCGCCGACAAGGGACTCAACATCTCGCCGTTCTCATGCTGCAGAAGAGAACCAGATTGCCATCACGATACAGCACACTCATTTAAGTCAATTGATCAAGGTACAGTACATGATGCGCACCCTTCCTCTGACTATGTCCATGTGCACCAGCAGGGACGCCAACTCCAGATCCTCACTGTAGCTGTTCTTGAGCGGGACAGACCGGTAGCCTACAGACAGACATCAGTGACATTGTTTTTTACATTCCTTAAAAGGATGAACTCAGGGGTGTCCGATTCTTCTCTTGGAGGGCCGACGTTCCTCCTGAGTTCAGCTCCAAGTCGTCCTGGAGGTTTCTAGTAAACCTTGATTAGTTGCCAATCAGAAACGTTCAGGCAGGTGTGTTGGGACGAGTTGGAGCTGAACTCTGCAGGACCGAGTTTGGACGGCCCTGATTCAGACTAAGTAAACGTTCCCTTTGAAAGCACAAAGGCGCTCATTTTTTTGGCGAGCCGTACCGGTTTTGAGGCAGTTGATGGGGAACGTTGCCTGGGCGAGAAAGTTCTGGTCGTTGAACATGTCGATTTCATAGACCACGAAGCGCAGGAAGGCAAAGGAAGGATTGCACACGGTGAATCGGAAGGGTTTCCTGGGCCAGGTGGGGTTCAGACCATTGTCCGCTGAGAGTAAAACAGGTAAATCTTTTAGTGATACCGCTTACCCCCACAGCATTTGTTCTTAGGTGGTGGTGTTGTTGTAGGAGATGTTTGCATCTGCACCTCACCTTCAGAGTCCGTCCTCTGCTTGGCGTTGTCATATTCTGCTCCACAAACTTCGATCTCGATGAGAGGGCAAACGATACCTCGACCGTGTTTGGGCAGGTGGCGTGCTCCCAAAACCTTAAAACACACCAACGTTCAGTTCAGTCCTTCATTTGCAACTATTTGGTCACTCTCACACGATCAGTATTGGCTGATCACCTGGCGAACAAAAGCGCAGTCTGGAGAACAAATGCTGTATGTGTCTTTTAAAACGCCGGGAACGGCATTCCCACTTTTTATTACGGACGGATGCGATTTATTGGCCTTCTTTTGGACTACTGAAAAATAACACCCATTCACTGCCATTATAAAGCTTGGAAGAGCCAGGATGTTTTTTAATATAACTCCGATTGAATTCGTCTGAAAGAAGAAAGGTGTATACACCTAGGATGGCTTGAGGGTGAGTAAATCATGGGCTAATTTTAATTTTTGTGTGAACTATCCCTTTAATTCAAAGGGAAAACATCATTTTTTTTCGTTTACACCCTATTGACAGATATTTCTTTTTTAAAAACAAACTCACTTCATTTTCTTTAATTTCTCAGACAACAAGACTTCACATGTTCAAACTGCATCTCAAGTAAATGTATCTTGATTTAAGGATGTTTGTATTGGAAAACAAGACAAAATTACTGAGGAAGATATTCATTTTCTGCAGTGCATTAGGGCTGTCAAAAGAAATTAGAATTTAGAATATTCGTCGAATTTAAAATAAAAATCCACACTCGAATGCAAAAACGTTGCATTCGATTTTTAAGTGTGCGTTAAGCAGGCAGCCTTATCAGTGGAGCACGAAATGCGACGACGATGTAAGTGTCGTTGCATTATAATGTTTTTGTTAGCCTATCCAGTTGAACCCACTAGATGCGGCGCTGCTGTGTTGTTCATTTAAAATATTGCGGAAAAAGAAAACATCAATGCGGCGAAGATGTTGTTTACATCAAAACTGAAACCAAGCCGTTCACACAGAACACATATTTCACGCATTTTCTAGAGGGACATCTATTACTGTTGCACTCGCGTCTCGCACAAAGGAGCCACATGTTTAGAAAGCCATGTAAAATTAATGCAAGTTTAACTTTGAAAAAAATCCCACTGCATCTCATGTTTTTAAATGAAAAATGTACTCTGTGTGATTGGCTTTCCGCCCTTTGTATTAAACGATGCATACATACATGATGCTGTTTTGTTTATAGTTGTTTAAGCAACTTAATTATAATTGGTTTAGAAACATTATTTTAAACATTATGCACTTTTTTCCACAGATAGTCATGTTATCTTATGCTTTGAATAAACGTGCATTAGTAATATTTTACTCGATGCGCCCTCTTGTGGCCTCCGTAGAGAAGCCAAAAGCAATTTTTCACCATAACTGAAATTATGCATTTTAAATTCGAATATAATTCAAATTTTGATAATATTTAAGTACAAAATCCAAATGTAGTTTTTCAGCCATTCTGACAGCCCTACAGTGCATACAACATTCAGTGCCATGATCTCATGAATTTAAGGCTTTCTGCTCTGACTTTTTAGGCCTTAATTAGTGGAAGGGCAAATTTGGACCCGGAGAGACCCCGTCTAACAGTTGGGTTGTAGTCTATTGCAGTGCAGCATGCATGAGTACCTCTATGCAGACCGTGATGGGCTCCACTCCTCTCAGAGAGTGCCGGTCAAACGGGTCGAAGGTGTCGTCTCTCATGATTGACGGCTGCAGCATGTAACCACTCCTGCCGTTCAGCATGAAGAGCGCCTGATTCATCTGCATGGGCTTATCTGCAGAGAAACAGTCACACTGTTCAATGCCAGGATGCACACAGAGGAGGAGGAGAGAGAGCTCTGTGCTCACCGGCGGTCTGGAAGTTAAGGGCCACCAGCTGACTGCCACACAGCCACATGGGTAACGGGTCGTAGTTGGACGAGTCCAGGCGCTGACCGCGAGGGTAGATCCGCGAGAGCTGCAGCCGGTTGTACTGCAGGAACTTCTTTCCTTTGATACGGTTCACATACTTCTCCGCTTTGGTCTCGGGAAACGAGGACATGTCCCGGAAACAGGCCCGCTCCGTCCCGATTTCTGTAAGAGACGGAATATCTCTTAGGGTTTATGTTGAGGAGCTACGGACCCAAATGCGTACCGTTGGCACGCGTGTAGGAACAGGTTTGGGAAACACTGCGTTAAAGCAACAGACCACCATGGGAAAAGGGTTTTCTGTTTTTTTTTCTGGTTGGGACAAACTCGCTGTGCTATGCCAATACACTAAACTCAACCCTGAGTTGAGCATGTCACTATCAGCATGTTTATAACAATAGAGAAATAAAACGGTTGTAGTCCTGCACTCATTCTATAATGATAGCTGGTGTGATTTTATACAACGTGGTCAAGTTTATATAAAGTCCAGTTCAAGTTTCAAGTAAAATACATCTGCAGTAATTTATAGATATGGTGACTATCTGATTTGTATGGACTGTTTATTTGGCTATTAAGTTTCCCAGAGAGTGGGATTGTGTGAACCTAATTGTGAGTGTATGAAAGTGTTAAGAGAGATGTTTTAATATCTTGGATTTGATCTTAAGTACAGAATGATTATTTCCATGTGTGCCATTAACATATTAAACAGTGCATATATTTATTTACTAATACATGTAAACATTGCTGTTTATGTCTATGTATTGTAATAGGTTGTGCAAAAAAAAAAAAAAAAATATTGTGTTAATTTAGTGAGGGAATTAATTAGTCAACTTTGCACTATTTTAACTTAATTGTAGAATGTTTGTTTTGGTCAGAATTTTTAAAACAAAAAAATGACCTTCTAATTAGGTTATTATTAATGGGCGAAAAACAAACAAACAAACCAAACATTTTTTTAAATAATGAGATATATTTTTACTATATGGCTCAGTCAAAAAGTGAGTCGGACCAGTTTTATTTTAACACAGGTAATATTTTGAATTTGATTTCATTTTTATACTTTCAGTTTTCATTTTTATTTATTTGAAGTTTTAGTCATTTTGCTGTGTTTTTGTCTTTATTTTGAATATGTATAGTTTTCATTAAATTTTAGTGTATTTTGTTTTAGTTATGGTAGCACTTCAACTCAAACTTGTTTTTTTTTTTCAGCTAGTTGCCAAGGCAACATTTCTTATTTGTGTTTAGTTTAATTTTTTTTTTATAATTTTAAATATTCAATTTTAGTAGATGTTTTTTTTTTTTCACGTAATGAATTTTTTAAAATGTTTTTTGGTTTAGTTAATGATAATAACCCTGGTTAGGACGTGATGTGACAAGTTGTAGAATCAGATTTCCACGAGGCATCAGTAATATTGAGTTGAAAAACTGTTGGACGTCTTACTGTCTTCATCAAAAGGAACCGGTCGGCAGTAGATGACGAGGTCTGACAGCTCTAAAGCAATCTTCTTTCTTCTTTCCATCATTTTACCCTCCTCAAGCTGACGGAGAACAAATAATCATTAGTCATAAACAATATCATACAGCCTACGTGTCCAAAAGCAAAACACATTCTTAGGAAACTGCATGCATTTTAGATCATTTGATCCCTTGATTCATAAGCGCAGGCATTCAAGAAAGCTGAGCAGAGGTTTGGTAACAGGTGGTGACAGGCAGCTCTTGTTTTCCTGGAGAGGAGGGTTGTGATGGTGAGGAAATTTTCCCACCAGTTAATCGACGTGTGACAACACCGATAATACCAGTATCACCGTGGGGGCGGCGGCGTTCCCTCTTTTCCTCTGCTTATAAAAAGCTTGTAAAAGCAGCGTGCACATTTTACTTTCACTTTCAAATAGTGGCAATTCAGCGTAAAGCAATTGTTCGTTTTTAGTTCGTTTGAATTTTCCCTCTTTTCCTCGCTTTCTTTCGCTTTTAAATAGCTTAAAAGCGCCGTGCGCATTTTACTTTCACTTTCGAATTAGCGGCAGTGCTTGAATGCAACAACAAAATACAACGTCAAACTCACTTTAGCCTATATATAAAACATAGAACTTTTATTAACAAAACAAATACACCATGCTATAGGGCAGGCTATGCCTAATATAAAATAACAAATAACTTACATAAAGTTTAATAGGTATACAAAACTGGAAATAAGTAAACGTATAATATATAACCAAATAAATAAGAAACGTAGAACGTTTATTAGCAAAACGAGTAAGAAAGCTTGGAGGCACGGCATACACCTTGATGTCAAATAAAATAAATAAATGACACAAAGTTTAAATAAAGTAAAAAT